CACACACACACACACACACACACACACACACACACACACACACACACACACACACTTCCTGATGCCAGCTCCCAAATGTTCTCAGCTCTTTCCCAGAAACTTGAAACGTGGTAAACACTTGATATCACAATTAGTCTGCCAAATATTATCTAGGAGAAATACAGTATGATAATTACACTATTTTAAGTTCCCATTTAGAAAAAAAAACACAAATAGTAGAAAATGCTGACCCATGCCTACATGTGCTCAGCCATGATAAATTGAAACAATTCATCAAATATCAGTAAACTGCTGATCTAGACTCTCCGGCCCTCTATATATTAATGATAGTAGAGTATGGGTTGACAGCACGGAACAAGCTCAGCATACTTCCTTAAACCTGTGATAAAGGCTCTGTATTTTTATTTTATCATTGTTTTTTTTTTTTTTTTGCTGCACAAAATGGTTCAGTGAATACATGCATGCTGAATAAAACATGTACATATRGTCTGTGCTTTGCAGCTTCTAAGGACCCCACAGCGTTCTACTCTCAGATCATGATGTATGTGCTGCTGGTGTTCTTGACCTTCTGGCTACTGGTAGAAATGGTCTACTGCTACAGAAAGATCTCCAAGTCTGATGAGCAGACGCAGGACACAGCGTGAGTCTCACATAGATGCATAGATACGACCAGACAGGAGATTAAACCCRCTAGATGTGTCCTACTCAGATATCACTGACAAGCACCATAAAACACAAATGGGTTCATATTCAGTAAAAACAAACTTTTGTCACAGTTTTACCAGTGTTTTTTCTTTTTTTTTTTCTTCCCGTTACATAATTCTCATTTAAAATCTCAGATGTAGCCACAAGAGATTTTGGAGGTCGTATACAGTTGACAGGACAGACAGAAAAGGGTAGACMCATAGACAGACATGGAAGTAATTGAGTCTGCGCCGCACTGGTTTTAACCCTCCTGCAACTTTAATCTGTTCTTTTACAGAGGCAGCCAGACAGACCTGAATAATTTGAAGCTCTGCTGACTGCCTGGATTTTTTTAAATAGCAAGCTTTTTACATTTGAGCAGGATTTTAAGCTTCGTTGGAAGAGGACTTTTGTGTCACCTTGTCGGTGTTGTGAAAGAGTCAAACCCACCTGTGCAGTCAGTTCTATTGGATGTTCCCAATGTTGACTTAGGCAGTTGATGCATGTTGACAGCTTTTATACAAGAAATTTGAATATTAAAGAAAAGGGCACCAGATAATACTTTGGGGAGATGCTGTGTTTCTATTGATATTTGTAAAGAACTAATTCAAATTGCAAATCTGACTTAGTCAAAGACATAAAAGCCTTTTATTGTAGAAAAAGCTTTTCATACTTTCCATTTTGTCAGAACATTAAATAGACACAAGTAGGACAGAGTCTAATCAAATCAACAAAAAAAGTGTCTGTTGTTCCTAACAAAATAGAGGGTAAACATTGTCTTGAAAAGTCTAGATTTCACAGGTTTTTCTTCTGAAGAGAACAGTTTGACGTGGGGTTAGTTAGACCCAATAACCCCAAAATTTTGTCTARACAACTACTGTAAAACTATGTCCAAAAGCAATCATTTATTGAACAAATATGAAACAGTTAATAAAGTAGCTGTTTGACTTCAAATAAATTGCATACATTTAAAGAAGTTGTTTAGTGGGATCAGCTGGGACAAAAGGAAGTTTTTGATCAATTCCCAGTTGATTCTTTTAATTTCTTGAATAAAAAGAGAAGTGATTAATGAGAAGMTTTAAAGTTGTCTTGGCTCAGGGAATCTGTGATCAATATATTTTGTTTAAACTAAAAATAAAAAAGTCACAAAGGCTTTTAAGGTTAACTTTTGAAAAGATACAACATTCACTGGACTGTTGAAGCATTGTAGGAGTTCTGCAGCTGACAGAGTTTATAGGATTTTTTTTTAATTGCCTGACAACACATCTAGAGCAATAAGTCAAACTTGCTCAAAGAGACCACTTTTCAGTTGGTTTCTGAGGCATTCGGGCTTAAATGGGTAGTTTAGATGTTTTTAAAGTGGTGTTCTGTGAAGTTTTCAGTAATCAATAWAAGACCCGCAGTAGAAATCACTCAGAGCATTATCAGTTTGGAATACCAGGTCAAAGTTTGCTCTAGGGAGATGAGCTAATGGCTAGTCCAAAAAAAAAGGCATTTCCAAAGCAGATTGTTACCAGTCTGAAGACATTTATGCAAATGCTATTTTATAAACCTTCATACTGAAATCATTTGTGCATTGGATGATTTTTTTACATTTAAGTCTGTTGTTATTTCCATTAAAGACTTAGCTGTTTGTGTTCTCTTACCATCAATGTTTAGGGTAGAACAGATTGTCTTCCACGAGCAAAACATTGTATTAAAAACATTTTATATATTATATATATTCTTAATTTTTCTTCAGATAGTGTTCACTGCCATATCTATGTACACCCTTCTCCTAAACAAACAAACAAACAAACAAACAAACAAACAAACAAACAAACAAACAAACAAACAAACAAACAAACAAACAAACAAACAAGCACAACATTTGCTTAATAATATAGATCAATACAGTTAACAGATTGCATTATAAATAACCACAAACTGTTAATAACCATTTAACGTAAAAGTGATGATAGTCTAAAAGTTTTAAAAATAGTTTTTCTAATAACTGTGATAATTAAAATGAAATTAATATAATTAAGATTAAAGTTGTAAAACTAAAAATTTACTTCAGAACTTTTCTATAAAGAAAATGCTCTGAGCATTTTCTACCTCAGGTAAGACATTGATAGCTAACAACAACTCCATAGAACACCAACATATCCCATTGAGGAATATGTATTTTGAGTTTTTAATGATGCACCATTTGTGCATCAGATCATTTTGTTCATCTTACTGTAGAGACGAGATTAAATGTGACAAGAAGTGGTACTTGCTCAAAAAAGTTGTTTTATTTCATTATATATAGGCTTGCTGACTGAGCTCCAAAATTGATTTGATTAACATAAATCTTGCTTAGTCTACAGATACACTGTGCAGATGTAGATAAGTGAAGCACTTTAAGTGATGTGGCTCTAACAGGCTGAAAGTTTGCAGGTAAATGCTGCATGAGTGTGTCAAGTCATTTCAATGCGCAGTTTCTCAAAACCTTCTCACACCATTTTTCTATTTTTAAACAGATGATCTCTACATTAAAGTACACGTGGGAATTAAATGCTTATAAAAGCCCCATTATTCCGAACTGAATAAAACTCAGTTATCRGTGTCTTGCCTGATAAGTGAGTTTATCATCAGTTTGTGAACACTCCTCTTGTTTTTGTACAATCTGCCTGCAGGACAAACTACCTAGCCATTCCCTCTGAGCAGAAAGACAATCCAGCTGCTCCTGTTACCGAATAAAAGTGCTTTATGGTATTTTACATGTGACATTCTCTGCCTGACCCCGATCAGTCAAACCATCTCCTCATTTTTCCAACCCATCGTTCGTAACCTTATTACCCATAGCTGTGCAGCACTGTAGTAAAAGTCTTGTTGCTTCGATCACCACCGTGTTTTGTTTTGCTCACTGTTTTTGAAAAAGGCTTTCATTTTTTGTCATTTTAGACCCACAAATCTTTCATTTGTGTTCATTGTTCATTTATTGTCTTAACTTGCAACATTGTTTTTCCACTAGAAAACACCTAGTACATCCCATTAAAAATGTAATAACTTCCAAATCTAAGAAAGTGATAGCAATCTATACTCTTAATGAGCTTGTTTTGTATTATAGACTTTGGCATGGATCTGTGTAGTAATATTGTTTGGTGTAGAATAATGTAAAATTTGATATTTTCAGTGTAGTGCTCCAAAAGTGACACTTTATTGAAAACACATTCTTAATATTAAAATTAAGAAATCATTTTCTCTTCTTTTTTTTTTTTAGGTATTGATCAAGTGTGCTGGCACAAGGGATTCTGAAACCACAGTCTAGTCTATGACACTATGAAGGCATACTTTCTCCTAGAGAGCCATGCGAATCCTGCCAACCGACCTCTCCTTTATATCGACCGTGTCTTGTGAAAAGCCAGTGAAAAATACCCAAGTGCTGCTACACTARGCACACACACACARTATATATATATATATATATATATATATATATATATAATGTTTGTTTGTTTTTCTTCTTTTTTCTCCTTTTTATAAACATTATGCTGGGCTTCTCAAGTGCTTAAGTAAATGCTTTTATAAGTATGAAAGCTGAAATTGACAAGTCAGATTTTTTGATGTGATGTTCTGTGGAAAAGTTATGCTTAACTAATATCTTACCATTGTAGATAGCGTTTTTGGTTTACCTCAGTTTGGAGAAATACAGTTTAATACTATCAGATTGAGAAAACCTTTTATTTCTCCACCATCAGCACAGCTGCAGCACACAGAGTTTGAACAATGGCACATGCTGTGCAGGGTTAAGGGTGGGAGCAGCACTATCCTCTCATTGGCTGTTTCTGACTGGGAGCGGTATATTTCTGCAAATGGCTGTAAGACCACTGGGAGCAGCCACAGGAGATTAATTTTTTTCACAGATTACATGTCTCATGACAGTTTTAACAAATATGTAAAAAAAGGATAAAATAGAAAACATTTTTATAAAAGTTACCAACTGCAACTTTAATGTGCCTGTGACTTGCATATTCTTCAAATATAAAAAAGTCAAATAAAACATTTTTTATTTAAAAAAAAACTTTCCATTATACACAATCTTACCCATTTTGTCACATAACTGGAATTGTTTTTCTTATTAACTTTGGCCTTTGTTGATTGAAACAATATTGTTCGAACTCTGACTCTTTCATCTCTCTGATAGTGACTCAAAATAATCTAGAGAAGTCTCAGCTTATTCTCTACAGTCTGTGTTAATAGTTATTGTAGCAATAATCTCTTTACACTCAGACATTCCCCTTTGTCTTCATTTCCTGTTACTTCACATGTGAATAGCTCAACAACTGTTTATAGGTCAGCAATGTTATCTTTTCAGAAATTTAGGCATTTGATGTCGACCAAAGTGGATCGCTGTCATCTTGAAACATCAATCCTTTTTATTTATATTTGTGTTCCTGAATAARATTTTAAAGACTGACATTTTTACATGACATGGTTATTCTGGTAGAAACCTTGATGTTCCACGCTGCGCCAAAATTGCTACAGCTAACCTCTGCTGTTACTATTTGCACTTGTAAATAATGCAACAAAAAGCTGATGGCAAGAGAAATGTTTATGAAATAATATCCATATGAGCTCCTAAGAATTKTTTTTGCTACTGGAGTTGTTTTAAGGTGGCAGCATTTTACTTTAGGCTCAGAGAGCTATCTTCAGCAGGTAAGATAYTCATTGCTCATGACTTTTCCACAACACCCCATTTTAAACGTTCTGAACTATCCCTTTAAAGAGCAAAAACAAAGGTATCCTGCAATTTAAAAAAAAACAGCCATACTCTAGTTGGACCTGATATTGTGTAGGCGTATATTTCCTAATATTTAGTTGTGCATCTGTGACTTCTCTAACTTAAACCGTATTTAACCAGAGGAGACAATCGGTCCTATTGTTGTCAAAGTTCTTATATTATATACTGACTCTTTAGTACTTGCATAGTTTATTTTATAACTTTTTTATAAGACGTGYTGTGTTTTGGGGTCACAGTTTTATTTGAATTGACCAATACTCTTTTTAAGATAAATGGAAAGCTTTTCTACTGTATGTATATTTGTGTATTTGTATCTGCCTTTCTGTATGCATATATAAAGTCACACTGACATGAATTTACAAACACAGTGTTCTACAAAATTACACAGTTCTTTATTTGACTTCATCCGAAGGTTTTTCCTTTAATTGCGTCTGTATAAATCTATAATCCATGTCCAGCTCTGAAGTCAAAGTATATTCAGCAGGTCAAGTGTGGCTGCACTTCGCTACGCTAAAATGTGTTTCTGAAGCTTTGACGATTGCTGAAATTCTGCTGCACCGAGATTCAGCGTGTGCCTCTTTCTATCGTGCAATACCGTAGGAAATATTTAGAATTTGATGAAATCATATCAAGGTGTTTTCTTTGTCTGTTACAAATATCTCATGTGTGAGTGAACTATGTTTGAGCTAATAAATACAGTGCATTCCACAATCGTAACTGACGTCCCTCTGTTCACTTTTMTCTTGCTTGCTTTCGAGTCGTCGCTCAGACGCCAATAAATTGATGGTGTCCCAATTTCAAAGTTTTACCAAGATGTGAAAAATAAAAATAAAAATACAGTATTGACTCTCAGCATCTTCTTCTTATGTTCCCCCTATTATTTGCGATTGTAGTGTTGTTCAAAAGAATGGAGTCGTTTCAACCACCATAAGCACCCCTGGTGTTTCCAGCTCTCATTAATGCTGCAGAAAAGCAGCAAACAAAGCAACTTTTTCGATTTGTTTCTGCTTGAAGTAAACCCTCCGTGTTTTAATTGTCAGTCTTCACGGAGCTCAACGTGGTGCTAAATTGTAAGGAGTTCTATATTTATTTGTTTGCTGAGAACAGAGGTGCTTTTGACATGCAAAGCTGCAGAAGCTGCGGAAAATAAAGGCAGCAAAAAAGGTAAACCGCTAATAGAAATAAAAAGAGGTGGGGGACAAACCTGGACACATAAAGAGGGATGTTGCTCTTTTAGTTAGCCATGACTAACAGCGGTGACAGATATAGCAGCAGCTGTTGTTATGGCAACCTGGACATGTCTGTATCAAGGAAGATCACATCAAATCAGAGTTAGGGCAAATTAATTTACGGTTAGCATTTATTCTGTACAAAATGCCAAGATGACGTTGGGAAATGTAGTTTTGCTCCAAGAAGTTTAAAGGATTGAAGAGCACAAACCACTGTTCAAATGCCTCAGTGGTGTTTTTTTTTTTTTTTTTTTACCATCAATCAAGTTCATCCAAATTGGTTATTGACTGCCCAACCCAATCTAAGAACCATCCAACAATATAGCAATGTGGCTTTTAGATACACTGTGAAAGTTATTACCTTTCCTCTCCCCTTCCTGCTCCACCYTGTCGCTCCTCTTTTGCCATGCTGTTGTTACAATGTGCCTCCCTCAGGATACAACCCAGTAACGTGGCCCACATTTGACTAAATTAAGTCTCAGTTAAAGGCCCCAGCTGCCTCATTGCTCAGGTAAGCATTTTAAGACACATAAAGCAAAAAGGTTGACAAGAAAAGGCTCTAAATTCAGATGTTTTGTTAGTTTCACATGAATAGGTTACAAATAACACAGACAGAAGGGAACCTGGTTGTTTTTTTTTTATCTAACAGATAAGACTGGTTGGACCTACAGCAATCCTTTATGTTTGCTTTGATGATTTGCCCAAAGAAATACCAATGAATAAACAAAATTTTGAGGTGTTAGTTATTTTACATGATCAAATATTACCATATCTCATTGTTCATGTTATTTGTGGTCAACAATGCTCTAATATTCATGAAGGGTCTTTGTCTCCCCCTAGTGTGAAGCTTAGCATGTCATCAAAAGACATGCAATCAGTCTTGTTTGTAACATCAAGCTTTCTGTTGAGTAACACTCACACAAGATCAAACTGAGTAAACATGCTGTTAAAGCTGCCTGGTGAGGAGGACAAATCTGTGATGTGCAAACTGGTAACGATTCAACTTTCCTTTTTTTTTTTTACTCACACTGATGTACATCATGTATCTGTTTTAAGGCAGTGTTGATCAGCGATGCCTGGCTGCAGCCCAAAGATCATGCAGCACTCTGCTCGWTACCAGACATCGCAGAGACACGCAAACACAGCCCATCGACCGCTGATCAATAATCGCTTTGCTGGATCTGTTAAGCTATAAATTGCTTTGATAGATGAAAACATAATGAGTGAGCAAAGTGAATGATTCTTGTTTRGCTTTTCTGCTGCAATAACCAGCACTCCTGCCTCTCTCTTTTATTTCCTGCCATAAGTCCACAGTGTGGTAGCTATTCTTGAAAAATGATTTACAAAGTTTTGCACCACACTAAGCTGGATGAAGCGAGGGGYAAAAAATGTGTTTCTACAGTATTTCTGGTGCCCAGCATTTTCCTTTCTTCTTTTCACAAATGAATACACACAAACACATGCATTTATAACAGGAGCTCAGACGATGAATAATTTCTTCCAAGAAAGCTTTTTCCTCAGACAACCACAAACACCCACTCATAATTACAAATCTTCACACATTTGATGTTATGTAATCTAGATAAGGCAGGGCTTTTTCTCTGCAAAATAAACAAACAAATAAAAAACATTAAATCCAATTTAGTCTTGATCATACATTTAAGACTAACAATGTGTATTTTTAGATAGTTAAATGTCTCATTTTTAGTCAACATAGGCAAGAAAATTGAAACTCAAAACCTCAAAGAATAAAAAAAAAATGCCAGACGGTCTTCCTTCTGGTCAGGCTGTCTTTTTTAATAAATCAGCAATAATTAGACTCACCTTTAAAAAAGACAAACAAATGATGTGATGGAGGGAAAGAAACATGGCTAATTTAAAAGGTAAGCCAATTTAGAGCAGGAACAGATCATTGCACAGAGCTACCTCGTGTTGATTAAGGTCTCTGCAGAAACAACACATTCAGCAGCAATAAGTAATTCAGCATCCATTTACTGTATGAAATAGAGCTTTTTGCATCCAAAATAAACAATGAAATGCATTACTCATCAGATTTTAAATGATAGTTTAACAATTTGGAAAATACTTCATAATGCGATGAAGCATAAAGGTTTATGAAACACAAAGCTCTGTCTGAGTGTTGTGTTTTGCTTTTAATTGTTTTGGACACAGTTTTTCTCTCATATGTTTGGTTTTGTTTAAAATTTTGGTTTTATCCTTTTTTCCATAGTTTTGCTTATTTCATTGTCAAACTCTACCCTGACCCACATCTACCAGCACTCCTGCTCTTGTTATTGTGACAATTCCATGAGCATGATAAAGCCTGGATATACTTTGTTCACTGCTAATTTGTTGTGTGTGTTTTCTGTCAAGAATTATGAACTTAAAGTTGATTTTCGAGGCTCACCATGCCATGAGTTAAAAACAAGTA